TACATACAGCGTAATTGTGAAAGAGCATCTTTGGTGATTTGGTAACTTGCCCAGCAGCAAGGACTCATCCTGTTTATCTGAGCACTACCTATATATTCTCATAGCTTCAGGGATAGACATCCCGTCAACAGTGTAGTCCCTCAAACGGAAGACACTTTGACATGTTTATACTGTGTTTTGGCACTAACTCATTTAAAAAAAAAAATCCTGATTACCGAAAGCTTGTCCTTGAGGTCTGGTCACCCCATGTCATTGAAAAGCCTAGTGGTATTCATTCATGAACTTCCAGTCTTCTATAAAAGGCTGTTCATTCATAGCCAGGGCAGCTCTTTTTTTATGCGCTGGCAATTAAATAACTCTTTGTAAGCGGCAATGAGCTACTTGTTAAGTGGTCTTCACTAATGCAAGTGCAAACATGAGGTGAAATAGCCCTTTTTTCCCCCTCTTCCTGAAAGGGATGATTTTTTTATGTTAAAAAAAATAAAAACGTAAAGGAATTTCAGTGAGATTCAGCATGTTCAATGCTTATTGTTCCAAAATCTCCTTAACTGGAGTAAAACAAAAATTGTGAGCTCCATGTATCTGGCAAGTTAAGGTTTGGAGTTTTTTTTTACAACATAGCTTTGCTTTCCTGACTCTTTAAAAAAAACAGTTAAAATATCTTTTTTTAAAAAAAGTATACACACACAAAAATAATAATTTAAAAAAAAAAGTGCTCTGAAGTGTGTATTAGGCTGGATTCTCATCTCTGTTACACCAGTATAAATCTGGAGTTAAATCCATGGGATCTAATTCTGATCTAACATGGTTTTACAACAGAATCAATTTCAGTGATCAGAATCTGCTCTTAAACCAAGTTACTTTCAGATATGCGCAAATTCCGTGAACTGTTCTGTGATTACCCTAATCTACTGTCTTTACTCAGGCGAAATTCCTGCAACCTGGGTAGGGATGGTAGGATCTGGCCCTTAAGGCACACTGCAAGGTGTTGTTGTAAAAAGAAGAGCAGGATCTAGGGAGTCTGTGGAAAGAGAACTCTACATCCTGTCTGTGCAATGAGATTTAGCTTTAAGGGCTGTGCAGAGAGGAGGGAGAGAGAGACACACACACAGTTTGCAATTTATCTGGGCTAGGCAATTAACATAATCTGAAAACTTCTTTCACTGACGTCTGTCTGAAAATTGCTGGGTGGACTGGCGGGCTGGGAAGATGAAAGGGAAGAACGCAGGCTGAGGGATTTTCTTTCACGCAATAGGGTGTAAGGGCCTTCTACCCAGATACGTTTCCTGGTTCTTTTTACTCCTCCCTCGCAATTTCCTGTTCCCCCCTTTAATTTTGTCTTCGTGGGGAGCGACTGCTTTTCCTGTCTCTTCACACAGGACAGTAGTCTAGTGTGACTTTCACAGACTCATTAGCCCCTTCCCCCAAGTGCATACGCTGAGGTAGTTGCAGAAGGTTAGGGTAAAGGTAATTTGATACCAGGCTCAGTTCTTCCCAACCCCACTACGACCTCCTCTTCCCCCGCCCCTTCTTTCACTCAGCTCTTTTCCCCCCTGCTTGCTGCTTATTTGGTGCCAGGTTTCAGTGGATAGAGTTATATGAAACAAAGTATTGTGAGGCACCAAAGGGGGGAGGTTGAAAGACCTATCGGGGCACACCTAAAAGTAGGCAGAGTGAAGCCTGCAGACTTGCAAGGCTGTTTCCCTTTTACATAGCCCCATAAGTGCATTGCACCAACAGTGCCAGTCCTCCCCCCAGTCATGTTTTTGGTGAGTAGGTTGACAACACCTTACCTTTCTAGTATCCAAACATGTGCAGTTGGGCCCATTTTTAGTAGCTGCTTCCAGCAACTGGAGAAATATTTTCCTCGCTGGCATAGAAGTGAGGAAATTAAAAGTGTGTGGCTGGATTTATTTTTTAAAAGCACAGTACTGTACTCTAAACGGAATCCAAAGACTTGAAAATGCCTCTGTTGGGGAAACAGGCATATTAATAGTCAGTAAAAAGCAGAGAAAATACAGCAGTTGGACGGGCTAATTTAGCCACTATACTCTCCTTCTGTCATTCTTTCTTCAGGATTTTATTGTGCTATATTAAGGTGCTACGCAGGTTTATTGGGAAGAACTATCAGGCATTGTATCGCTAGCAGTGGAATGGGTTTAGGAGATGTAGTTTTAAGAGAATAAATAAGGAAGTGGTATTTATTCCTCATAACACAAGAACTAGGGGTCACCAAATGAAATTCATGGGCAGCGGGTTTAAAACAAACCAAAAGGAAGTATTTCTTCACACAATGCGCAGTCAACCTGTGGAACTCTTTGCCAGAGGATGTTGTGAAGTCCAAGATTGTAAGAGAGTTCAGAAAAGAACTAGATAAATTCATGGAGGATAGGTCCATCAATGTCTCAGCCAGGGTGGGCAGGGATGGTGTCCCTAGCCTCTGTTTGCCAGAAGCCGGGAATGGGTGACAGGGGATGGATCACTTGATAATTACCTGTTCTGTTCATTCCCTCTGGGGCAGCTGGCATTGGCCACTGTTGGTAGACAGGATACTGGGCTAGATGGACCTTTGGTTAGACCCGTATGGCCATTCTTATGTTGTTCTTATGTTGTTTGTAAGAGATCTTTACCTGCTCATTTGTGTGTGTGTGTGTGTGTGTGTGTGTGTGTAGATTTATTTTGGGAAAGGGATATTACTTTCTAACTTTCAGCTCTGAACTTGGTTTTTGTTTGTTTGTTTTTGTTTAAACAAAATATTAGAGATTAATAGGTCCCAGCTCTTAACATGTCTATAAAAGCTGGAAAGATATTAGTGAAGAAGCACAGAGCTGATGGACATAGCTAGTGCTGTTATGAGTGTCATAAGATACCCCCCATTTCCCCTTCCTTTTCGGTCCTCTCATCCCATCTCAACCCCAGTAGCAGCAACTGTGGCTTAGCGGCTAGCAGGAGGGATAGATACAACTGAAAGAGGAGGGAAGGGCTAAAAGAACTGACTTTTTTTTTTCTTTTTTTCTTTTCTTTTTTTCTTTTTTGTTAACAAATGCAAGACTTCCGGTCTCCACCCTGCCACCACAAACCACAGTCTAACTGCAGTTCAGTCAGATTTATAGTTCATCTGACGTCTGAATCGTAGCATTTATTACCAGGGTTCCAGCTATAGGCGTAAATAGGCTCTGTAAATTATAGCAGATGATCTGTTGTGCCCTCCATTCCTGTTGAGCAATGTTTAACTTGCCTTTTATGGCTCCCCTTTTGGGGAGAAAAATTATATATGAACAAAGCTTGTCTAGGCTTACAGCCTTTGAAAGCGAAGTGATCTATGGAGTCTGTCAGGCTGTGGGTACCTTAGCCCTCATCCTGGCTTACCCACACTTCACATAGAAAAAAATCTCTGTGGCTGGTGAGCAGCTCCAGCATGATGTTATCCACATTGATTTACTGTTGCTTAAATTGATTAGCTGCAACGAGGGTTTGAGGGTGGGGAAGAAATCAATTACTATAGGTACAGTGCTTATCAGTTTTCATCTTCCAGAGCATTTCACAGAGTATGTCTTCACTGCAGAGTTAACTCAGGTAATAGGCAGTGGGATCTGAGCACTCCGGGTAGCCTGGCCTAGATGCCTGCAGTGTCATCCCCGAGTTACCGTGTCCTCACTGGTGCTGCACTCACCGGCACGTCTCGCTAGGATATCTGGGGGAACATCCCATGCTTCTCTGTGCCGCAGTTAATCGAGACGCTCTGTGATTCTTTCCCAGTGAGCTGTGGGAGAAGTTGTCTGACCTTCTGAGCTCATGGGGGGAATTGTGGGAAGGCATTGGAGGACTGTCAGCACTTGAGAGGTTTAGCCTGTGTCCTCACTGCAAAGTGGGCGAGTTATCAGCCCAAGTGAAAGCCTCATTCTAGCATTAGCCGGGGTAGTATAAGGTAGCACTGCACTTGGGTGAGAGATTTTTGTGTGTGTGGATGGAACGGCAGGGGATATGGGGCAGCACCTTAGTAAGAGTCTGGGGTAGCTGCAGTGAAGACAGACCCATGGACATCAGCTAACAACTGCTTACAACACCCCAGAATATTCAAATATTCTCACCCTTGTTTTAGAGCTGAGGAAACGGAGGCAGAAAAGACCAGCTACTAACAAGGCTGCAGAGGACATGGGAATTGGAGCACAGATTAGAAAGGCAAGAGTTAATTGGCTCCCATCCCTGTACTTAAACCACTAAGTTAGGCCTCTCTTTCCACGGGCCTGTCTACACACGAAAGTTGTGCCACTTTAAACTATATCAGCATAGTTGAAGAGATACAGTCCACTCATGTAGATGCAGTAACACTGATATAAAGGGACTTAATACCAATGTAGTTTATTCCTGTTCAGAAAGTGTAATAAGGTATATCAGTGTAAGGAACCTTCATAGTGTTATAACTGTGTCCAATTTCTACTGTTATAACTGTTTCAGTAAAAAATTGCACCAAAGATAGTCATATTGGTACAAAATCTGGGTGTAGCTCTCGATCTCTTTTTATGGTCAAAAGGCCAGTTTTTCATCTGCACAAAGTGCCTAAATCCCTTTGAAAATCTGCCCCAAAGAGACTTGAGAGTAGAGCTGGGAGTCAGGTTCTGTTCCTGGCTTTCCCAAAAGTTCACTGTGTGACTTTGAGGCAAAATCATTTAGAATAAAATTTTCAAAAGCACCTGAGTGACTTAGGAGCCTAATAGTCCTATGATATAGAATCCTAAGGCAAAATCCTCAAAGGTATTTAGGTGCCTCACTTCCCTGGTGCCTAAATAGCTCTGAGAATCTGGGCCTACATCCTTTTGACAATGGGACTTAGGCTCTGGTCTTGCCTAGGGATAACGATAATAATCACAGGTCTTTGAAATGCGCTGTCAGAACTATGGGAAGAGGGTGATCTTTCAGAGCTCAGGATTTATAAGGTTATGTTATTTATCTCTGTTGTAATAAATCTCTCTCTTTTTTTCCCCTCTTTCTCGCTGTAGATTCCCAAGTTCTTCAGGGGCCGGGGGATCGGTCACACTGGTGCGTGGTGGCATACTGGGAAGAGAAAACGCGTGTGGGCCGGCTGTATTCTGTCCAAGAGCCCTCCCTGGATATCTTCTATGATCTACCTCAGGGGAACGGCTTCTGCCTCGGACAGCTCAATTCAGACAACAAAAGCCAGCTGGTGCAGAAAGTCCGCAGCAAAATTGGCTATGGCATCCAGCTGACTAAGGAAGTGGACGGCGTGTGGGTATACAACCGCAGTAGTTACCCTATCTTTATCAAGTCGGCCACACTGGACAACCCCGACTCCAGGACGTTGCTGGTTCACAAAGTTTTCCCAGGATTTTCCATCAAGGCTTTTGACTATGAGAAGGCATACAGCTTACAGAGACCTAACGACCATGAGTTCATGCAGCAGCCATGGACCGGATTTACTGTTCAGATCAGCTTTGTGAAAGGCTGGGGCCAGTGCTACACAAGACAGTTTATCAGCAGTTGCCCATGCTGGTTGGAGGTTATTTTTAATAACCGATGACTTGAGACAGAGTGGACTCATGACATTATAACTACTTTGCTGCTAATATTTCCTTCTGAGTGCTTGCTTTTCATGCAAACTTTTTTGTTTGTTTGTTTGTTTGTTTGGTGTTTTGTGTTGTTTTTTTCCCCTCCCCTGTTTTGAGAAATAGCTTATGGAAAGATTTTTGCCTTGGTATTTTGATAAATATATATATATATTTTTAATGTGTGAATGACCAATAACTCAGAAGGGGGAAGAGAAGATGTGGGAGGGGATTACATAAAATAATCATTTAATGCCACTGAAATTGTTACCCTCAGCGATTGGTGGAATTCAGTCACATGCTGTTTGTTACAGCTCCCTCATAAAAAGGGTTTATACGTGTTTTTGGCACACCGGAGGTCTTCTGCTGCCAGATGTCTCGTCGTCCCCCTTGTCATGCGGAGTGCTCGCACACACAGGGCCATCTTGCTGTAGCTTCTGCCTACAGCGGTGGCACATTCCCGCTGCTACTTGTCAAAGTGCAGCATCTTCACTCCTGTGATGGTAAACCAAGTTCCTCCCCCCCGGCGACCACCCTGCATTGTCCCTGACACAGAACAAATGTATGTGCCGGTGCACCCAGGAGGCATCAGGAGCCAATGCAGCAAAGTGAAACTCTATCGTTCAGTTCCTTGCTCCTCTTTTGTTTGTTTTTTTCATCTTTTTTCATGTATGCTTGTTGCTTTATTTAAAGATCACGTCTTGTCACTGTTATGCCAACAGTCCATGGTGGAAGCATGGGTTTTGGAAGACACATGCCCACACTTTGAGTGCTTTTATTGTTTTATTGATACTATGAGGAAAAAAAAACATGCATGGCCCATGCTTTTCAATTTGAGCTGAGATGCAACCTTGGTGAGAAAACAGAAACCTACAAAAAGCAAGCAAACAAACAACAACAAAAACTGGGGGAAAAATGTATTCATGATCTTTGGTCCATCATAACCTGCCTTGATCAGGTTAGAGCGATACCAGTCGTATCCGGAAATGCAGTCGCTCTTTCATTTCTTCTTGAATTCATACACTAGTATGATACTTTTACACTGTTCTTAGCTCAATGAGCATGTTTAGACCTTAACATAAGCTATTTTTCTAAATATAAAGGTTTAAATGAACAAGAGAAGCATTCTCATTGGAACTTTAGCATTGTAGTGCTTTGGAAATAAAACAAAAGAAAATGGAAAAAAAAAGGACTCCTTAAAAAAAAAACCTTGAGATTTATTAAAGAAAAAATGTATTTTATGTTATATATAAATATATTATTACTTGTAAATATAAAGACGTTTTATAAGCATCATTATTTATGTATTGTGCAATGTGTATAAACGAGAAAAATAAGAAAGATGCACTTTGCTTTAATATAAATGCAAATAACAAATGCCAAATTTAAAAAAAAAAACACGAGATTGGTGTTTTTTTCTATGGGTGTTATCATCCAGATGAATGTTTTTTCTAAAGGAGTTTATGTTCCATTAAAAAATAAAAATGTACACTTGAGCTGACATTGTGCAGAGTGACTCTTTTATGGGTGGGGGTGGGGTAGATGGGGGGGAAAAACAGCCTACCTGGAGCTGGGTCTAAGTACCCAGCTATGGGATCTAGCAGACATTGCTATTTAACTAAGGGAGACAACTCTCACAATATGGGCGCTGCTCAAGTCAGGTTTTGGAAGGAGGGTCGGCAGGAGGTTGGGACTCAGGAGATGTGACATCAATTCCTGGCTCATCTGAAAACTTTGTGTGTGATTTTGTACAAGTCACTTAATCCGACCTTCAGTGATGCCAGCACATGCTGGATTTCTTCCAACGCTGGCCTCAGCTGCTGCAGGTTGTTGCTACTCCCCCACTCTGCTTCCCAGTGAGTGGGAGCAGAATCTGGACAGAATGGGAGGCAAAGCCCATGACCCGGCTGGGGAGAAGAGGGGAGTAGGGCAAGGCTAGGGGACAACTGGCTCCACCCCAAGTCCAGCCTTGCAGAGCTCAGGAACTCTGCCTCTTTCCCACCACAGTGGGCATATGTGCCCCTCCCCAAATACTGTAGTTTCTGAGCACCTCATGCTCGTTCATATATTTATCCTCAAAACACCAGTGTGAGGTAGACGATGCTGTCATCCCCAGTTTACAAAGGGGGACCTGAGGCCCAGAGGACATGCCCTCAGACACCCAGGAAGGCTATAGCAGAGCAAGGGTCTTGAATCTGGTCTCCCAAGTGCCATAAGCACTGCCCCATGCGCTTCTCGCAGTGGTCACAACTTGGAAACGTGTCAGCCATTACTGGGAGAAAAAACATGCCCCAGTCTGCCCTCCATTGCATGGTGCAATTCCCATTGAAAATCAGGCGGACCGGTATGCTGTACGATTAGCCAGTTAACTAAGGAGCAAAGGGATACCGCTTGAAGCATGGCATTACAGTAGGTGTCAGAGTGCTTCGTATTGCAAGTACATAAGGCTAGTGTTCAGTAACTAGATTATTGTATCCAGGCCCTAGGTTTTAGCAATGAGACAAGCTATAAGCTTTACAACAGGAGTGCAGGGAAGAAGTTAGTGCCGGGGGAAGGGGGAGATTACAAACTTTTAAGTGTAAAAGTGGAGACAAAAATTCCAGGGCCAATTGTTTAGTAAATACACCTTTTATCATGAAGTCTTTCACACTAGCTAGCTATGGTACCATGAAAATGCATCCCCCTCTGGGATGGAGGGAAGTCACCAGCTAGCACAGAGAACACTGGACCGCAAAGGGGATGGGAAATTTTAGTCAAAGACACTGGAATGCTGGCTACTATCGTGCACAATGTTAAAGTGTCACGCTAAGCAGGCAGGCCGTTCCCTTTTTAAGGGGTCTGCTGAGAGAGCCACACACAATAGCTTGCATAATAACTCAGCCTGAGTACCTCCGGGAAGAAGGGCTGAGTTGCGTTTGACTGCGATGTGCCAGGGCAGTGAGGTTGGCAAAACTGAGGCAAACCTTGGGATACTGGCCAGTTTCCAGTGAATGGCAGCTGGACACTGCATGTTCTAAGAACTTGGGAGGCAGGTGAACCATATCTTGTCACCAAGATGGGTTTAGGGCAAATGGGAAACACATTGAGCTCCTTGGCTGGTGGGTGACTCACCCATCTCCCTGCTGCTAGAAACCGTCTCTGCTACCCTTAGCTATATACTGACTAATCTCTTTCTGCCAGTTCCCAACTCAGCCTGTGGCTCAGAGGGCATTCAGGCTAATGGAATGGGAGTAGGCCTGGACAGAATTGCCAGCGGAGATGGGGTATTGGGTCCGGCATTAGGGCACTTTCAGGCTTTCAACAAGAGGACAGGCGTACTGAGAGGGTATTGAATCATTTGAGGGGGGAGGGGATGTTATGTCACTTGGGTGTGGGAAGAGAAGGGAGGACAAGCTGGGGGTTAAATTGAAGGCACTGTATGGATTGTGCTAAAGGTCGCAGGGTGGCTTTCTCCTTGCCACCATCCCTGGGTGAGGTGATACTCAGTCTCTAGGCCCTTTCCGTTCCCAGCCTTTTCAATGACTCAGCCCTGGACAGGGATGCCGGTTGTGATGGTGTTTTTGGTGACACAGTTTATAAATGCCTAGGCTAGGAGAAGTGCTTTAAGCCAGGGACTGTGTTGTCCTATATGTTTGAACAGCATCCAGCATGATGGGGAAACTGCTCATGACTGAACCCGCTGGGGAATACAAACCAAATACGTATTTCACTAGGCACGGACCACGACCTCACTTGGGCACATTTCACCCTGGCCATCAGACCGTCAACTTTCTGTCAGGAGTTAGGTTTGAACTGGAGACCAAAAGGTAAAAGGCTCAGGATCCCATTACCAGCCTCCAGCCTTTCCTCTTTAAACAGGGTATTAGTGTCAAGTATCGGGGGTAGCCATGTTAGTCTTTAAGGTGCCACTGGACTCCTTGTTGTTTCTGTGGATGCAGACTAACAGATTTATTTGAGCATAAGCTTTCATGGGTAAAAACCCCACTTCTTCATGGAGTGAAAATTACAGATGCAGACAGAAATATAGTGACACATGAAGAGACGGGAGTTGCCTCGCAAGTGGAGACCCAGTGTTGACAGGGCCAATTCGATCAGGGTGGTGTAGTCCACTCCCAATACTAGATGAGGAAGTGTCAATTCCAGGAGAGGCAAAGCTGCTTCTTTAATGAGCAAGCCACTCCCAGTCCCTATTCAAGCCCAAATTAATGGTGTTAAATTTGCAAATGAATTTTAGTTCTGCTGTTTCTCTTTGAAGTCTGTTTCTGAAGTTTTTCTGTTTAAGTATAGCTACTTTCAAATCTGTTATAGAATGTCCAGGAAGATTGAAGTGTTCTCCTACTGGCTTTTGTATGTTACCATTCCTGATGGTCAATTTGTGGGCATTTATTCTTTTATGTAGGGACTGTCCATTTTGGCCAATGTACATGGCAGAGGGGCATTGCTGGCACATGATGGTATGTATAACATTAGTAGATGTGCAGGTGAATGAGCCTCTGCTGATGTGGTTGGGTCCTCTGACGGTGTCGCTAGAGTAGATATGAGGACAGAGGAGGCAACAAGGTTTGCTACAAGGATTGGTTCCTGGGTTAGTGTTTCTGTGGTGTGGTGTGTAGTTGCTGGTGAGTATTTGCTTCAGGTTGGTGGGCTGTCTGTAAGCAAGGACTGGCCTTCCTCCCAAGGTCTGGGATAGTGAGGGATCATTTTCCAGGATAGGTTGTAGATCGTTGCTGATGTGTTGGAGAGGTTTTAGCTGGGGGCTGTACATGATGGCCAGTGGTGGTCTGTTATTTTCTTTGTGTGCCTGTCCTGTAGTAGGTGATTTCTGGGTACCTGTCTCGCTCTGTCAATCTGTTTCCTCACTTCCCCAGGTGGACAGTGTAGTGTTAAGCATGCTTGATAAAGATCTTGTAGGTGTTTGTCTCTGTCTGAGGGATTGGAGCAAATTTGGTTGTATCTTAGGGCTTGGCTGTAGCCAATGGTTTGTGTAATGTGTCCTGGATGGAAGCTGGAAGCATGTAGGTAAGTAGTCTACACTACTGCGCAGGTCGATCTAAAATGCACAACTTCAGCTACGTGAATAGCGTAGCTGAAGTCGACGTACTTAGATCTACTCACAGCGGTGTCTTCACTGCGGTAAGTTGACAGCTGATGCTCTCCCGTCGACTCCGCTTGCGCTCCTCGTTCTGCTGGAGTACCAGAGTCGATGGGAGAGCGCCCAGCAGTCTATTTATCACGTCTATACTAGACGTGATAAATCGACCTCCATTCCCCCCCCACCCCGATCGATTGCTGCCCGCCGATCCAGCTGGTAGTGTAGACAAGCCCTTAGAGGTCAAATGTTGTGGAAACTTCATCGACACCATAATTCAGTTTGTTTTCTTAGTATTCTCTGCCAGCCGATGTGAAATATTCAATTATCATGTCACAGCTTTTGCATGGCCCAATGGCCAGTCTAGCTGAGAATGCTGGTTTTTGCTCGAGGTTCAAACGTATCTGCCTAAGAAATTCATATGGGGGCTAGATCCACAAAGGTATTTAGGCTCCTAACTGCCACTTTAGGCAAGTCCAACATTTGTCTCCTCAGAAACCGTGCTCAGCTGCTGCCTAAGCCCATAGGGGCTTAAAATCCCTCAGCAACTAAGTCTCCACTGATAAAGGCCCTTCCCACCTCCCCCCCCCAAAATCTGCCAGTGAGCATGTGAACAGACGTGTCAGTCCCAGTGTTCAGTGCCTAGATCACACCTGAGGCTATGGCTACGCTGCAGAGTGTACACCACGGCCACTCTACCCACGCAGAGCCCCCGCTGTAGCATTGTTAGTGCCGCGGGCTCGCCCGTCGACTCAATTGCGAGCGGCGGTAGCGATGTCGGCGGGAGACGCTCTCCCACCAACATAGCGCTGTCCACACCAGTGTTTAGTTTGGTGTAACTTACGTCACTCGGTGGGGGGGAGGGGCCTTAGTTACACCCCCGAGTGACACAACATGTGCCGATATAAGCGGTAGTGTAGATTTAGCCTTTGCCTTGCAACTGAAAGTCGTCGCTGGCCTACGTGTCAAGCTTGGTGTTCACCTGTCTTGCTAAAAGAACGAGCCTCACACAAACCACTGCTGCAGAAGGAGGTGAGCAACACACACACCCCACACACAGAGCAAACAGACAGGATGTGGGCGATCCATGTCTAAATCCTCTCTCTGCCTGACATGGAGCAGTGATTCATATATTCACGGATTCCAAGGGCAGAGGGGACACCTGTGCTCATCAAGGCTGACCTGTATACACAGGCCACAGAACTGCCTCAAAATAATTCCTAGGGCAGATCTTTTGGCAAAACATGCAATCTTGATTTTAAAATCGTCAGTGATGGTGAATCCACCACGAAACCTTGGTAAATTGTTCCAAGGATTAATTACTTCTCCCAATTAACATTTTATGCTTTATTTCCACTGAATTTGTCAAGCTTCAACTTCCAGCCCTGGCATCACTTTATACATTGC